TTCGATTCCCGGGTGGGGAGAAACCTGAGGCAAGTTTCCTTACTCCACACGTCTGTTTACCTAGCAATAAATAGGAACCCGATTGCTAGTCGAATGGCAGATCACTTCCCGGGGGGTAATAATCCCTCAAAAAAAAATTGTTACTCAATCCATGACTGTTCATGTGACACTTCTGTACACAATTGGCTGCTGCGTTTTGCCCACAAAATACACAGTCAATCCGCTTTACAATATATTCTGTGAACCGCTTTGAGATATCTCAACGACGTAATAAGGCGCTCTATCAAATGCAAGGATTATTATTGTTATGTGTCAAAAAAACAGCCAAAAAAACCAAACCAGTGGTGCCTTATCTCTGACCTTCAGCAGCTACTTAAATGATCTGATACACACAGCTACAGGTTTTGTCCTATCGAACGAAGGAATGATTTCCAATTAACGCCACTGTTAAAACTCTGTGCCAGTCACAACTCATCACCTTACTCTCCCTTAGGAGTGTATTGTTGGCATTTAGGTGTTTTTAACAAAAAAAGGGCAACTTTTTTTAAAAAACAGACGAAGTGACATTTCTGGTATTTTACCATCAAGTGTTTTTTTCTAACACGTTGGTTTATCAAGCTTAGAAATAGCAAGGCATCAGTCAGCCTTGGTGAGAAAGTGGGCTGTAAATGTCAGCTGTCAGTGGCTTATGTAATTGGGGGAAGGGAGTGGGGGGGGGGTTGCCTCAAAGCTGGACTGTTTAGAGAAGATATATAACATGCTATAGAAGGTAATACACACACATGCGTGCATGCATGCAGCAAATCAAATGAAAATCTGTTAGGATTTAGGCTGTATGGGCTACAAGACAAGATCCCCTTCTCACTCCTCTTCTCCCCTTCCCACACCTCCCTCATTTTCTCTCCGTTTCTCCCCTCTAGTCTTCTCCCATCCTTTCCTCTCTCTTACCTTCTCTGCTCCTTCCTTTCCCCTCCTCTTCCCTTTCAGCGCCTTGGGACATCCTCCCAATGTGAAAAGAGCTAAGCAAATGTAATCTGTTGTTGTTCCTCCCCCTCCCCTCATCTTCCCTCTCTCTCTCCCCTCTCCATTCATCTCCCCTTTCTCCTTTCACCTCCTCCCACTTCCTCTACTCTCCCCTCTCTCTTTTCCTTCTCTCCCCACCCCTCTCCTCTCCCAGTCAAAGCTCAGAAACATTCCAAGAATAATGTGACCTTTTCATTTCCACAGTCCCTATAGGCACTGATAAGATCTGTGGTAAAACTGACAGCCCAATTTAAGGCTTCAGATTCCTCCTAAGCAGAGTTAGTGAGCAAAGAGTACATCCCATTAGCCTTACACTTTCTGGAAGGTCTCGGCAATTGATCGTTAAAGTAAACGCAGCTCATTTCAGCCTCAAAATATCTTCCAGCCATTTCCTCAGCTCCACTTTACTTTCTTGTGGAGTCCTGCAGCAAAGTAGGTAGCATGCTCGCCTCGCAATCGAGAGGACCCGGGTTCGATTGTGCACAGCAGTATCCCACAAACAGTCAGGCATTCAATGACCACATTTTTTTTTGGAGGGATTATTACTTCTAGAAAGCGATCTACCAATTGACTAACAAGCGGACTCCTACTTACTGCTAGGTAAACAGAGGCATGTGAAGTAAGGAAACTTGCCGAAGATTTCCCCTGCCTGGGAATCAAACCTGGGTCCTCATGCTTGCGAGTTGAGCTTACAAACAACTTGGCTATGGGGCTTCACATCTCATTTCTGTTTATCTGGTGCAGAGTGAGCTCTGTTAATCCCAGACTGTTTAGGTGCAGGTTGGCAAGACCCAAGGCTTGAGGATCCATGAGTGCAGGTTGCTATAACTATTGGAGTTTAACCAGTTAAAGCACAGCAACAGCATTGGGAGTGCTGACATCTCACACTAGCCTCAGGCCTATCCTTTATGCCAATGTTGAGACCTTGACCCTGCGAATGGTCGGTCATCAGTGACAGACGAGAAAATCTCTTAACAGATTTGCTAACACCAAATCACATTGCATAGGTTCAGATGAAGAAGGTCCTTCAGTCCATGTAATTCTTCCAGAATACTCACCCTACCATCCTCCCATCACAGCTTCAAGTTGTTTCTCAATGAAGTCCCAGTGTCCTGTCCTCAACCACACTTCATTACAACCTGTTCCAGTCGTAAATTACCCTCTGGGTGAAGTATACGTCATGTCAGTCTTGAATCACCTTTTACAACTCTAACCCTCTTGTTCTGTGTCTCGGTGCATCCTAAAATATTGTTCTGGATTTACCTTTTGAATCCCATTAAAAGTGTACCCCTATAAAGTCTCTTCTGAGATGCCTTCTGTCAATACTGAAGATCCCTAGTCTATCTAATCGTTTATTCCATGGCTCATTCCTTTAATAGTGGGGATCATCCTAGTTGCTGCATATTAAAGAATGGCACTTCGAACAATCCCCACTGCCCCCAGCATTGCATTGTAGTATCAATGTAGACAAAGTGAGTTCAAAGTCCTTCCAAGAGTATTACCAACTGAGATGACAATGATACCCACTGAGCCAGGTCATGTTTCCTTGACCAGGACATACCTGCTATGCAGTTGCCTAATTAAAACCTTGCGACACAAAATGTTGAGTTCAGAAGGTCGCACAGCCATTGGGCCTAAACCATTGGTGCTAGTTAGAGTCAACTGCTCTAAATCCAATCCCCACCTCTTCCTCCACAAGCCTATCATACCCAGCCTCACCACGCTCCATTGGTTCCCCATCCCCCAGTGGATCAAATTCAAGATCCTTGCCCTCACCTTTAAATCCCTCCACAGTCCACCCCACCTCTGTGACTTCCTCTAACCCTATCAATCTGGCTGCTCCCTTGGCTCAGCAGGTAATCAATCCCTCCCTCACTAGTGCTGGAGCACATTCCAAAGTGCTTCGCAGGTTTTACTATAAAGCGTAGTAACTGTGTATTTTGTTGGTGAATGTGATGGCTAATTTGCACACAGCAATGTTCCACAAACAGTCATGATGCGAATGGCTAATTTTATTTGGGGGATTGTCAGCCAAGACACCAGGAGAGAGAAACTCATTTCTGTTTTTACTTTGTGCCATGGGATCTTAACACCCACCTGAATAGGCACAGCCTGGCTTAACGTCACATCCAAAAGACGGCAACTCCATAACGCAGGGTTCTCCTTCTCTCAGCCCACCATCCCCTTTTTCTCCTCCTTCACCTCCTGCCTCAGCACTTCACTGGAACAGCAACAACAACAAGAAATTGCATTTATAAAGCGCCTTTCACGCTGGGAGGACATCCTAAGGCACTTGACAATGAGGGGTTTGCATCTGAGCTGCAGGTTGGGATTAGAAAGGGATGGGGGGCAAGGGGGGATGGGGGGCAAGGCTGGTAGAGAAGGGAAGTTGACCGAAGGCATGGTGGATAAGTAAGGTCTTGAGACGGGCCTTGAAGGAGGCCAGGGAGGGGACGAGGTGGAGGGGCTCAGGAATGCAGTTCCATAGGATGGGGGCAGAAAGGCTGAAGGGCTGACTGCCGATAGTTGAGCAGGCAGGCCAGGGATGTCGAGCAGACCGGTGCCTGCAGAGCAGAGGGAGCAGACAGGTTGGTCAAGTAAGCCTCTGACTGATTTGGAGGCATCTGTTCGACCGAAGGCAGTCACAAACTGTCAGGAACGATTCTGTCATTCGGCCAAATATAACCTGGCAATTACATTCCAACATAAATAGTTAGATTGCTATTCAGGCTCTTGGTTCATTTGTGCATTCCCCTTTCAATACAGTGGGTACAGGCACTTTGAGGACACCCACAGAGATAGAGATAATAATAATCCTTGCATTTGATATAACGCCTTATCACATCGTTAATGCACCTCAAAGCGCTTCACAGAATATATTGTAAAGTGGATTGACTGTGTATTTTTGGGGCGAAATGCAGCAGCCAATTGCGCACATCAATGTCCCACAAACTGCCGTGGATTGAGTGATCAAATGGTCTTTTTTGGAGTAATAATTACCCCCGGGAAGTGATTCGTCAATTAATTAACAGCGGGGTTCCTACTTACCTCTAGGTACAGAGAGGCATGTGGAGTAAGGAAACTTGCCTAAGGTCTTGCCATGCCCGGGAATAGAACTTGATGAAAGATGAGTCGACTCTGCTGTGTTCTGCTCAGCAGGAAAGCCTATGAAATGAACCGTTAGCTGTTGTGGATGTGTTTAATGGGTTGGAGAAGGCTATTTACAGCAGGTGGTTATCCTGGGCGGGAAAGGAGTGGAAATTGTGAGTGAGTGGGGAAGGGCGGAGAGAGATGTTCGAGGAAATTATTTATGGTGGTGGTGGGGTGAGGGGAAGAATTAAAAAAATAAAGTGGGAAAGAAAGGAAATCAAATCAAATCAGGTGGCTTCAAAATAAAGAAGACAAAGAGAATTGAGAACAAGCAAAACCAAAAGAATTAAAATAATGCCAGCAAAAGAAAATCAAAGAAAATCCAATAAAGTATAAGGTTTATCGTGTAACCTTTTTGGAACAAAGAGGATTCTAAAGAAATGCATGAAACAAAAATATAATCCTCGTATTTGATGCATCATCAAAACGCTTCACAGAATCTACTGTATTAAGTGTAGTGACTGTGCATTTAAGTGTGCAGTTTGTAGGCAATTGAGCTGACAATTTGCATGCAGCAGTGGAACAGAATAAGAATGCTACAAATTGCATCCCAGAGAAAAACTGACATTTTCTGCTCACGTATAATAAAATAATAATAATAATCCTTTACTTTGATGTAATGCCTTAAAATCTTCGAGATGTCTCGAGCGCTTCACAAAATCTACTGGAAGGTGAATTGACTGTACGTTCTGTGGATGAAACACAATGGATCCAACCCATCATCCTTGTGCCATGTCTGCTGAAGTTGCCTTGTTTTATTTGATGATTGCTTATCCCTGAGCAATTGACCCGAATTTGCTCTTGACCCATGTTTGTTCCCCATGCAGAGTTACAAGTGTGTTTGCCCTCCGGCCTGGGAAGGGGATTTCTGTGAACGAGGAGTTAATGAATGTGCCTCGGAGCCTTGTAAGAATAATGCAAAGTGCACAGACCTCATTGGTGGCTATCAGTAAGTACTAAATAAAACGCACTGCTTTGATATCACATTCCCGGAGTGACAATAATAATCACGGCGATAAACAATAATGATAGTCATAACAACAATGAAAATGAATAATAGCAAAAAATACTAACACTAATATATGGTATTAAAACCAGCAATAAAATCAATAAAAATAACAAGTCCTCATGTATGGTTTAAAGTCTTATCACGTTGGGAGGATGTCTCAAAGGACTTCACAGAATTTTTAATGTAAAGTGAATTGACTGTATATTTTGAGGGCAAACGCAGCAGTCAATCTTGCACAGTAATGTCCCACAAACAGCCATGGAGTGAGTGACCAATTTTATCTAGAGGATTGATGGCCAGGACACCGGGAGAAACTTTCTTTTCCTTTTGAATAGTTCCATGGGATCTTTAACATCCACCTGAACAGGCAGATGGGACCTTGGTTTAACATCTCACATTAAAGATTGCACTGCAACACCATCACAGCACCGCACTGTGGAGCATCAGTTTGGACTGTGAGTCCCGACCTGGGGCTGCAACCCATAAACCTGACCCAGAGACAGGAGTTGTCCCAAGCGAGCCATAATTTTGTGATATTTGGGGCAGGATTCAAAGTCTGCATTTGCGAACAGGAAGAGCTTTCTTTGCGAAATTGGTCGACTATGATAACCGAAAGCAGAGAAACCGTGACGAGAAACACAGGACAGAAGGCCTAACCCGATCAGGCATTGGAAACAATGGAAAAAATAATTGATTTTGACAACTATTTGACCAACCAACCCAAATAGTTGATTCGATAACTAGTATCCAATAGTTACTATCTAGAAAGAAGTAAATGTCAGGGATAGCAAAGCCCTCATTATCCAGTGCATGGGGATGTCCTTCTGATGTGAAAGGCACTAAATAAATGCATTTTTTTTGGTTGTCGTGATGAAGTGCGATAACAAACACAAAGGTTATATAATTATATATATATATACAGTTTGGTATAAAACCGCACCGTAGCAGAGGGTTTGCAGGATGGATATTCAATGAATCGATTCCCCTGTTTTTTCCTGTTAGCTGCACTTGTGCTGCAGGCTGGAGAGGGTCAGACTGCAGGGAGGACGTGAAAGAGTGTGATTCGAGCCCATGTCTGAACGGTGCCACCTGCTTCGAGCCTGCTGTCCCAGGGACCTTCCAATGCCTCTGCCCCCCGTTCTTCACTGGTGCCCTATGCGAGCAGTTATATGATCCCTGCGATGACCCCTACAGCCCCTGCGTCCACAACTCAACCTGCGTCACCCTGAGCGGAGGGATGGCTTTCTGCATCTGCAGACTAGGTGAGGAGTGATTGGTGTTCAGACGGGTGAATGTGAGCCGAAAGGATGGTGAAGTACATAGTCCTGTTACCCCCATGTTTTTGTTTCTACAGTGCACTGACCAACAACTGAATCATGTGGAAGAATGATGCTAATTAGAAGTACTTAATCGTATTCAGTACAAGTGTTTAACTGTATTCAGATATGCAGAGGATGGGTGTGAGTGAGTGCCATCCTTTTCATGGCAGATAATAATCCGTCACCATGTTTGAGGCGATATCTTCCATAACATGATGGATGGAGGAGGAGAAATGCATCTCTGACAGTTTGTTTCAGCTCCTCCGTAGTCTCATCACATTGTTTTGTAACAGGGAGTAACAGGATTTTGTGGAGACCGTGTACACCGTTTCTCTTTGTACCCTTGCCTCGTGCAACGTGAACATAAAACAATGTGTAAATTCACTCAAAGACAAGCATCTAACTGTACTTCACAGACACAATGATTTACAACAATGACTTGAATTTATGTAGCATCCTTCACGCAAGGTAGCGTCTGTAGCGATTAAATTTAGATTAAATTTAGATTCGATTTGGAGGCCCGGGATCCGACAATTTGTATTAATAGAATAGAAACTCCCTCAATCCTCGGATCGGGAAATCACAGCCCCATAGGATCAGAATATTCCAGTTGCTTTTTATTCCTCTTCCCCACCCACTCCCCTCCCTTACTCAGTGTCTGACCCTGTCATTGTAAAGCACTTTGAGATGTTGTCCTAAGTAAAAGGTGCTCTATAAATGCGAATTGTTATGTCATTGTTGTTTCACCTTTTGCAGACATTACAAGTAAAAAGTAGCATATCATCCGCTGCACCCTCGCTGGCTTGTGTTAAATTGGATCAATTAATAATAATCCTTGAATTTGATATTGTGGACATCACCCAAAGGTACAGGAATTAACAGACGTTCTGTTGGTAGTCCTTCCTGTCTGCTGTTAGATTCTCCCTAGTTTCGGCACAGTCTACAAGACGAAAGTTTTGTCTGCCAGGAAAATTCTCACCTCCAGACCACTGCACTTTGCTGGGAATTCTGGACTTCCAAAAGATGTTGGACAAAGAACCACATGAAAGGTTCCTCCACAAACAATGGTCACTGGTTAGCAATGGGAAGACATGGACAAGGATTGAGAATTGGCTGAAGGAAAAGAAACAGAGGGTCTTTGTGAGGGGAGTCTGGCCCGTTTTGAACCGCTGCCCTGCCCGCCACACCATCCAGCGGTCCTGCTTCAGGCTTTGTGTCCCCAGTCTCTGGATCTCCATCATGGAGCCCCTCCACCTCATCCCCTCCCTTGCCTCCTTCTAGGTGCATCTCAAGACCTTCCTCTTTGACTGTGCCTTTTGTCATCTTTCCACTACTATCCACCTTAGCCCCCACCCCTCTCGACTCCAACCCCCAGCTCAGGTGCAAACCCTCGACTGTCCAGCACCTCGGACCTCCTCCTGACGTGAACGGCACCAAATAAGTGTAATTTGTGTGTTTGCTCGGTGAAGCACCTTCAGTCTTCCCTCGCGGGTGAAAGTTGCTCGACAAGTGCAAGAGAAGACGGTTTCTTTGTTCCACTTACAACCCAGTTACTCAGATTTTTTTTCTGGTCAGCCAGGTGTCTGACACATGCGGAAACCCATCACCATGTTTCAGAGTATCCATAACAAGCTACATGCATCCTAACTACACATGGTAATTCCAGAGATAGATTGTTGGATGTAGACAGTAGGAGCAGCAATGGGCTGTGCTCTGGCTAGAATCTGGTTCCTTTGCTGTAACCATGTCAGGTTTTTTTGGTGCCCTTGATGTCAGGTCAAATCCAGCAAGACCAAAATGCCAGCTGTATCAAGGTAATTGCTTACAGTCACGTCCTGGCTGGATTCAACAGGGCAGTTGCTCCCAGTGACAGCTTCTTGGACAGATAGTACCTTAGCAATCTGCTCATCCCTCTCCGTTGCTGATGAATGATACCAGAGTGTATCAACTGCAGAGTGTGCTGCCAGCATTACAATTCACAATTTATTTTTTTGGTCAGCCGGATGTCTGACACATGCAGAAACCCATCACTGGGTTTAAGAGTATCCAAACCAAACTGAGAATTCCATGCATCCCAACGACACATGGAAATCCCAGAGACAGATTGTTGGAATGGAATTCCCACTCTCTCCCTGGAGGGATGCGTCCTGTTTACCTAATTCTGGAAAGTATTAGGCGCAGGTTGACACTTGGGGACCCCAGTTTGTGCGTTGGGGTAACTGCTGGAGTCTAACCAACTAAAACCACACAGCTTGCCATTGCTGTTTGGCAAGTTTTCTCACTGCTTGTCCAGATAGGACCACCCTACCTATTAGGGCTTTGGCTTGCAGGGCTAATAGGATCTGAGTGAGATGATTCCCTGTACCCAAATAATAATAATAATAATAATAGTAATGATACTAAGCTTCTGTGTAGTATGAACGCCAGCATTGTAATGTCTCACAGACTTTATAGAGATCTATCAGATTCTAAGTAAGCTTGAAAAGTGTGAAATTAAACCCAACACAATACTTTTGGACATTCCAAGGCAGCAGAGCAAGAAGACACATTTTCAGGGCTTATAAGGGGTATTTTCTGGACTGACACCAGAAAATATTTATTTTCACAGGGCGTAAAATAATGACTGAGACAGAGTTACCAAGTTGGGGATAGGACCCTGGAAAGGAGACTGAGACTTGAGAAACCATCTCCTATTATCTTCCCTCAAACACTGGATGCACACCCAGACTTTACAGCATTCGTAATAATAATAATAATCCTTGCATTTGATATCACGTCTCATCACATCTTCGAGACGATTTGTTTAGGGCTTTTTATTTGTGGGAGCAGCCAAGAGAGGATGATTCAGCTAACACTGCTCACCCCCACCCCTCCCACCCCCGGCTGAGAAAAATGCAGTTATTAATGGAGCTTTGTCACTGCAGAGCGGAAATGTCAGATTTATTAAATGTAGTTGGAAAAGAGCAGTAGAGTCATAAAGCCCTAGGTAAAAAGCCATTTAAGTTTATGACTTGGTGCAGCATAAAGCAAGTTGATTTAGGCTGATATGAAGTACCCATTAGAATCATACAATAGAAGCATAGAAATTTATAGCGTGGAAGGAGGCCATTCAGCCCATCGAGTCCGCACTGGCTCTCAGAGCAAGCTGTGCATTCAAACCTGATGCCTTGCCTAATCCCCATAGCCTTGAACCTGCTCTGCTTCAAATTACAGGACCTGGTTTCAATTCCTGGCAGGGCGAAACGTTGCGCAAGTTTCCTTATTCCACACGCCTCTGTTTACCTATCAGTAAGTAGGAACCCGGTTGTTAGTCGATTGGCAGATTAGTTTTGCGGGGATAATAATCCCTTCAAAAAAAAAATAATAATACGGTCACCTTATCCATGACTGTTTGTGGGACTCTGCTGTGCGCAATTGGCTGCCGTGTTTTGCCCACAAAATATACAATCAATTCACTTTACAGTATATTCTGTGAATTGCTTTGAGCCATCTAGTGCTAAGCCGCTCTATCAAATGTAAGGATTATTGTTATTATATACTTGTCTACTTCACTCTTGAAACCCCAACGAACTCTGCCTCCGCCACATTTCATATCTCAACAACTCTGTGTGAATTTTTCAGGAGAGCTGGGGAGTCGTTGAATTGTTCAGCACAGAAGGAGCAAACAACAACAACAAATAGCATTCATATAGCGCATTTCACGTCGGGATGACATCCCAAGGCACTGGACAAATGAGGGGTTTGCACACAAGCTGCGGGGGTGGGGAGCCAGTGGAGCCGGGCGAGGATGGGGGTGATCGTCTCATGGAGCTTAGTGCAGGAGAACACCCAACAACAACAACTCGCACTTGTATAGCACGCTCCACGCAGGGTAGCATCAGAGCGCTTAAGCTAACATAGTTCTGAGTAATCTGCAATTCGTAGAGGGAAGAGTTGAGAGGTCTGGTGAGCAGGAAGCCATTCATATTATTGGGCCTGTCCATGAGCTATCTGTATGGTGCCACTTCCCTGCCGTTTCCCCGTTCCTTTTCATATTTATTTCTCTTAAAGGTTTATAAGTAATTGCATTGATTTAGGAGAGCATTGCTTCCTAAAACCTCCATGCCCTTTTTTTTAAAACTCTCCCTCTCTCCTCTTTCTCTCTCTTTCTCTCTCTCTCTCTCTCTCTTTCTCGCTTTTTCTCTCATATAACAAGTTGCATTTGTCAAAACCTCAAACTTTTATTGGGGTTGATGTAGGTCATCTCTCTTTTTAAAATAACAGAACTGCAGAAAACTAGCTTCAAGACTAATGGACAAAAACGTCATTAGGTGTCAAAGTGGCTTAGTTGGTATCGCTCTCGCCTCTAAGTCGGATGATCGCGTATTCAAGCCCCGCCTCGGGATTTGAACTCACAAAGACAATTCAAATACACAGTCATGACCTTTTACAATTAATTCCCTGTGACATGAAAGGCGCTTTATCAAAGGCAAGGATTTCATCGTATTATTAACATCACATTTGAAGGACGTCACCTCTGATATTGCAGCAGTTCCCCTTGATACAACAGCAACAACTTGCATTTATATATATAGCCCTTAACGCAAGTTCCTGTGGAGTCCTGTAGATCAGTGGTTAGAGCACTCGCCTCGCAAGCGAGAGACCTGGGTTTGATTCCCGGACAGGGTGAAATTTGAGCAGGTATCCTTACTCCACCACGTCTCTGTTTATCTAACAGTAAGTAGGAACCCGGTTGTTAGTCAATTGGCGGATCGCTTTTCGGGGGGTAGAAATTCCTTTTAAAAAAATAATAATAATAAATTGGTCACTTCATCCACGACTGTTTGTGGGACGCTGCTGTGCGCAATTGGCTGCTGAGTATACAGTCAATTCACTTCATAGTATATTCTGTGAAGTGCTTTGAGACATCTCAAAGACGTGATAAGGTGTTATACCAAATGCAAGGATTAATATTATTTTTATATATAGCCCTTCATGCATGGTAGTGGCTCGATAGTGGAGATACGGAATGAATTGAAGACCCTAGAGGAACTGGAGTGATCCATTAGCATGCGTCTGTAGTAATTGTATTTTGCTTGGATCTTGAAATCAAAACTGCTTCATCGGGCTGGCAGGAGTCTGTAGGAAAGTAGAATGTCATTTTGGCCAGTTGGGAGCCTAATGCAACATGACCTGTAGTTACACTCTTGTTCAGCAACAAGCTTAAACAATGGAAGATTAAATTTGCCCTTTTGTCTTGCCTGCCAGAATATCAGATTATATCATTGAGATCTTAGGTATTTGTTAAGAACCGGTCAGTCGATGTTGCGATGTATATTGATGATGTTCACAAGTGTATCTCTCTATTGATTGGGGTGATATAGGCCTAGGCACATGAGCTATAACAACAACAACTTGCATTTATATAGCACCCTTTACGTAGGGGAGTATCTCAGCACACTTAACAATAGCGGAGCCCAATGCCGAGCTGGAGAGAGGGAGGAGATGACTGTAAGCACAGTCAAAGAGGAAGGACTTCAATCATGACCTAATAGAGGAGAATTAGGGGGCAAGATGGAGGGATTGGAGTAGAGAGTTCCAAAGTTTCGGGGGATAGTCTCGGCAAACACTCCAGTGCAGTGGTGTAGGTACATATTCTAGAAGGTACAGTCCTTCGAATGGAATGTTAAAACAGTCTGACCTTAAAGATCTCATGCATTTATGTGAGAAAAGAAGGGAGTTTCTCCTTGTGTCATGGACAACCACTCCCCCAATAAAATCGATCACTCACTCCAAAAAGTAGACCTTGCAAAATGCTTTAAAACCCGTCGATGGTGTGATAGGACACTGTATCCAATGCAAGGATTATATATTTAATTAATTATAATATCGGTACATGTCGCTTCAACTCATCCTCTGCGTCAAATGTGCATGTATGTATTCATCAAATACACTTTTATTTTCCCTCATGTAAATCCATTTCCTTCACAACAGCACAATTAGAGTGTTTCCATGGTCTATTGGGGGTTGCTGTGTGTGAAGGCTGGATGATAGGATATGTGACTAGGGTTGCTCAGTTCCATTAAGATAGCGGTCCCCTCCAGGGCTCCTTGTTCTCTCTCATTGATCCTGATGGTCTCACTATACCCTGGAACGCACTGATCCATACCCACCTCATCTATCTTTCAGGATTCCAAGGAGCTCACTGCGAAATTGACACCAACGAGTGCACCTCCTCTCCTTGTCAGAACCGTGGTCGTTGCTTGGATGAGATCAACGGCTACAGGTAAGGTAAAAAAAAAAAACACGTGAAAAGCTGGCAAGTGTTTATCTGAGCAGGGATATCAGGAACAGGAGGAGGCCATTCAGCCCACTGAGCCCAGTCCACCAGTTTCAGTGATCTGAGATGCTGTCCTAATTATACAGCACCCCAACACTGCATTGGAGCATCAGTCTCAACTGTTTGAGTTCAATGTCCCGACATGGGGCTTGAACCCACAACCTCCTGACTCCGGGGTGAGAATGCTTCCAACTGAGCCAGCCTTCAATCAGGCAAACCTACGGTCCTCAGTTGGATAATTATACATCTGGTATTATTTTGTTGTTATTATTGTTATTATTACTATATTACTAGTATTACTATATTATTATTATTATTACTGGCATTATCTCTTTCCAGATCTGAATTTTGGCCTGCATTGTGGTCAGAGTTGTTAGCCCTATTTTTGATATTTGCTGCTTTCCTCTGCAGTCGCCTGCCCCACCCCACCCCACCCCACACTCTGCTCTTCCTGTCATGGCCAGAAGCTCCCAATCTCTATGATCTCCTACCCACCCCACACCCCTTCTTGTCTCCTCCGCTCGGCTAACTCAGGCTTGTTGGTCATCCCCCGCCCTACCCGTGTCACTATCAGTGGCTGAGCTTTCCATTTCCTTACCTCTGGAATTCCTCCCTCAACTCCTTCATCTTACCCTCTCCCTATCTATCTTCAAGTCTAGCCTTTAAACCTACCTTTTTGACTCTACGTATGGTGTCAGCTTGTTTCCCCCCCCCCTCCCGCACACCTTGCTCCCCACCATTGTGGAGCTCTCCGAAAAGTTATTACAACACAATTTACATTTACATATTACCTTTTACATTGGGAGGGCATCTCACAGCGCTTGGCAATGCTGACTGGGAGTTTGAACTGGGAGTGGGAGCCAAGGGAAGTTCGAAGGAGACAGGTGACAAAGACACGGGTACGTTTTGAGATGGGGGGTGGGGTAGAATGAGCAAAGCGGACAAGTCAGAAGGAATCTGGGAGTCCCAGAGAGAGGAAGGCTGAAAACCTGTCTGGCAATGGTGGGATGGCTAGAATGCTAGGACTAGAAGCAGGCTACGTGAAGGACACTGGAAATGCAAGTTGTCATCGTTGTTGTTGATGTTTCTCCAGGTGCCTGTGTATACCAGGGTTTGTTGGGACAAACTGCGAAGAGGACATCGATGAATGCACGTCCACTCCCTGTCAAAACAACGGCACTTGTCTGGATCTCACAAACAGGTTATTCCCTCAATCTTTCTTTTCCGCTAGTTGCATCCTCCCAATCTGAAAGGCACTTATACAAACGTAAATGGTATTGTTTCGGTCGTGACGGCATCATCAATCATCAATCTAAAATTTTCCCTCTATACAGCGTCTTTGTATTTGGTACAGTGCCTTTCATGCCACAAGGACATCTCAAAGCCCTTCACAGAAATTGATGTGAAGTGGAGTGACTGTTTATATGCCATTTGCACAGAGTAATGTCCCACAAACAGCCATAAGCCAAATGATTAGTTTTATTTGGGGGATTGTTAGCCAGAACACCGGTAGAAACTCCCTACTCTTTTTGAACAGTGCCATGGGATCTTTAACATCCACCAGGACAGGCCGACAGGACCTCAGTTAAACATCTCATCCTCTGACAATTTAACACACCTTCCCCCAATATTGCAATGAATAGACGATACGAGTTGAAGTTACACATAGTTTACTCAACCTACAAAGCAATACCTGTAGTCTCCACAATATTTTTTTACCTCAAAGGAGTTCCCCTCCCACTCCCTCACGCACCATGAAGAAGCCTCCGATTTACTTTTTGAAAATGTGATTAAATAGCATTACTATAGAATAAGAAGAGTAGAGAGGCCTAAGGATTAATATATTTAAATGTTTAAAGGTGGGAAGGCAGATAATAATAATAATAATCCTTGCATTTGGTTTCGCACTGTATATTTTGTGGGCGAAATGCAGCAGCCAATTGTGTGTGTGGAGTAAGAAAACTTACCCAAGGTTTTGCCCTGCTGGGAATCAAACCCAGATCTCTCGCTTGAGAGGCGAGTGCTCTAACCACTGAGCTACAGGACTCCACAGATGAGCAAAGCTGTGAAGAAAGTTAATGGGATCCTACATTGTATAATTAGGGGCAGCCCCACAAACACTTACTCTCTCACACACACTGATTGCCGAGACCGGATTTATGACACGTAATACAAAGCTGACAAGTCTCTATCATCGGCATATGGGAGAAACAGAATGAGCAAAGGTCACAACAGCGACCAGGGACTGAAAAGATTTGTCTGCACAATAATAAAATAAAAATCCAGACAACAAAAAAGGTTGCTGGAGAGAATGTGAATGAAACACTCAGAAAATCAGTCATTCCCCTCATAACACAACGGATGGAGTTCAGGGAAAAGGAAAGAATTTATCCAATGTGACGTGATAATGACATGAAGATAATAATAATAATCTTTATAATTAACATAATGCCACAGTTTTCAGCCTGGCTCAGTTGGGTAGCACCATCAGCTTTGAGTCATTGGTTCAAGACCCACGTCCACAACAACAACAAAAACCTTTTAACTCACAGACACAGCTGATAATGCTGTACAGTCCTGGAAGGAACATAGCATTGTTGGATGAGATTTCCTCTCTGTCTGCCCAGGTACACGTTAAAGATCTCGTAGCACCATACAAAAAGAGAAGGGAATGTCTCATGGTGTCCTGATCAACAATCCCCCTAAACAAAATTGGTCACTCACCAACATGGCTGTTTGTGGGACACTGCTGTGCACAAATTGGCTGCTGGGTTCACCTACACAATATACAGTTACTACACTTTCTAGTTAATCCTGTGATGCGGTTTGCAACATTTTGACAATGTGATAAGGGCTAATTCAAATGCAAGAAATATTATATTGTTATTGTGTTGCAATGCACCTTTTGAATCCAATGCCATGCTTTCCCTGATGTGCTGGGATTGCGTGCCATTTTCGGAAATGTCTGACATGATAAACCGAGGTCCTGTCTGCCTGGTCAGGTGGACACTAAAGATCCAATAGTGTAATTGAAAACAACAACAACAAAATTGCATTTGTATAGCACTTTTCACATCGGGAGGAAGTCCCAAGGCCCTGGAGAAAAGGGAGCTTTCCCCAGTGTCTTGACCAAAAATCCCCCCAGATAACATTGGTCATTCACTTCATGGCTGTTTGTGGGAAGTTGCAGGGTGCAATTTGGCTGCCCTATTCAGCTAGAAAGCACACAGGCACTACACTTTACAGTAATTTCTGTGAAGCGCTCACTCCCATCATGAAAGGCACTGTACCAACTACAAGAATTATGATTATTATTAATAATGAAGAAACTTATGGAAAACCCAACTTCAGTGTTTGTAAGAATTTCTAGATGCTTTGAAATGCTATGTGAATAGAGTAATCACAATATTCATCTTTACATTTGATATTGTCTTTCAAGTCAGGAGAACGTCTTCACAGGATGCATGCTTTTGTACAGTGTAGTGACTGTATGTCAGCAAACACGGCAGCCAATGTGTGCACAGCAATGGCCCACAAACAATGATGAAGTGAATCTTTAATTTCCTCTTGAAAAAGTGGTCAGGACCTCAGTTTAATGTTTTGTCTGAAGGACCTTTCGAAGTAAAAGACGCTCCAAATCATTATAGAAAATCGTCACGAGCGCACTTCACTTGGGAAAGATAAAAAGGGTTTTTGGTTGGACCACAATCCGCTTCTAACCAATGCAACAGGACACAGGTTTGATTCTTGGCCAAGGCGAAACCTAAGGCAAGCTTCCTTCCTCCACACTCCTCTGTTTACCTAGCAGTAAGTAATTACCCATCTGTTAATCGATTGGCGGATCGCTTTCTGGAGCTTAATAATTCATTAAAAAAAACATTGGTCACTCAATCCACCACTCTTTGTGGGTCACTGCTGTGTGCAGTTGGCTGCCACATTTCATCTGCAAAATATACAGTCGGTTCCCTTTACAATATATGCTGTGAAGTATTGTGAGACGTCTCAACGACATGATAATATATAATCAATAATGATCCTTGCATTTGATATAGCGCTTTTCATGTCTTCTAGACGTCTCAAAGCGCTTCACAGAATATACTGTAAAGTGAATTGACGGTATATTTGTGGGCGAAAATATATGGCACTATATCAAACGCAAGGATTATTATTGTTGTTATATTCTGAAATCCTCTTCTTTGCAGTTCAACTCATTATCAGGCTCCACAAGCCTATCACCCTATCATCGCCAGAATCCACTGGCTCCTTATTCCCCACAGATTGACCTCAAGATCCTTTAAATCCGTACCTCCATGTCCTTACCCCACCCTACCTTTGTGACCTCCAGCGGTCGTACTTACCCACTCACTCCTTCCTCACTGCTAACTCAAAGCTGCTCATTTCCCCCAATCCTTCTTCTTCACTCTTGAGCTTTCAAGCCAATTGGCTGCCGCCTTTCAACCACAAAACATACAGTCAATTCACTTTACAGTATATCATGTGAAGAGCTTTGAAACGTCTCAAAGATGTTGGCATTGTATCAAATGCAAGGCTCATTATTATTATAATTTGCCCTCACTCTCTGCTTGAGTCCCTCTGCCTTTCCCCTCCCTCTCCATTTTCAAAGCCTTTCCAATAACCTACCTCTTTGACTGCGCTCAAAGCCCATCTCAAGACCTTCCTTTTTGATCGTGCCTTCAGCCGCCCTCTACCCCTCATGATTCCACCCTCCAGCTGAGGTGCAAACCTTAACTTAACTGTCCTTCTGACGTGAAAGGCACTACATAAATGTTGCTCTTGTGCATTTGATCAGAGAGACTGCACCTTAGTTAAACGTCTCAACTTAACGTCTCACCCAAAGGAATGCACCTCTGACAATGAAACACACACCAACAACAATAAATTTACATCTATAGAGCGCTTTTCACATTGGGAGGATGTCCCAAAGCGCTGAACAGTCAGGTGTCGGGGCCTGAACATGGGGGAGAGGTAGTGTAGGGGTGTCAGCTTAGTCTATATATGGTGTCACGGGATCTTTAACCTCCACTTGAATGGGCAGAGGGAATCTCGGTTTAATGTCTCGGCAACAACAACTACAAACTACATTTGTATAGCGTCTTTCACATTGGGAGGACGTCCCAAAGCACTGGACAGTCAGGGATTTGGACCATCAACAATGGATTAATGTACTGCATTGGTAGATGGTGAATGTGATCCCTGCACATTCAATGTGATCAATGGGCTATTATTACCCAACCTCTTCAGTGGCAAACAAGGACAGTTCCGGGCAAGTCCTGAAATTTAGGATAAACATCAAGGACATCAGAAAGCTTGCAAATGGGTGCCTCTGCCCTGATGTATATTTTAAGAATGACCTGTATACTCACATAGCCTCGTTTCATGTGAACGATCAGTCTTGAGGCACTTGACAAAAGTGGTAGGCAGCGAGCAGGAAACTGAGAGACACTGGCCAAAGGCACAGTCGATGCTCAGTGGGATGTTGCAAGTTTTCTTCATGAGTGCTGCTTTGTGAATCCTGCGCTTTGAGATATTGTAGGTGTCGTATCCATTGTGAGGATTATTAATATTAATAATATTACTGCAGCAAGCGCAACACTTCTAAAATTAATCAGTAAAATCTAAATTCCGGAGGATGGGTGTGGAAAAGAAAATTCAATTTAAACCACTTACTTTTACTTTTCCTGAACACCAGCTAAATATTTATTGGACAACCGTTTAAAAGTGTAATTTGTTTTTGAATCCGTGACAAAAAAGATGAAATGTTAAACTGACTGCCTGTTCAAGTGGACGTTAAAGATCCCATGACTCTATTTGAAAAGAGAAGGGAGTTTCTCTCTCCTGGTGTCCTGGCCAACAATCCCCCAAATAAAATTGTTCACTCATTTTCAAGGCTGTTCTTGGGATGTCGCAGAGCGCAAAGGCTCTTGCTAACATTTCTAAGAGGATAATATATTCACGGGAGGGGTGAACTAAGCACAAATATACCCTAGAATTTTAAAATTAAAGTTAATATAATAATAATAAATCTTGCATTCGATATAGCACGTTATCACATTGTCGAGATATCTCAAAGCACTTCGCAGAAATCACTGTAAGGTGTAGTGACTGACTGTGTATTTGTGGGTGAACCTGCCAGCCAGTTTGCACACAAATATGATGGTTAAAATTTGTTCATTTACATCATGGGACATTTACTGGTTGCAAATTGGCTGCTGCGTTTTCTCTACAAGATATATAGTCAAGATCCTTAAATAATATTAATGGCCCTTGTATTTGACATCCAACCTTTTACATCAATTGGACGTCTCAAAGTGTTTCACAGGATTTACTGTAAAGTGCAGTGACTGTGTACTTTGTGGGCGAACACGGTCACCAATTTGCACACAGCCAAGCTCTAATAACAGCCATGGACTGAGTGACCAATTTTATTTGGGAGATTGTTGGCTAGGACACGAGGAGCATCCTCATTTCTCTTTTCAAATACTCCTCAGAACTCAACCTTGGCTTAACTCTTCACATCCACGTAAGTCATCATGCTGCTAATATCCCAGATGTTTTATTAATTTATTTGTACATACGCCTAACACACATCTGAGACCTCTTCCCTTGGAGTCATGAGTTAACAGGAGTTTACTGGAGTGCCACAGGATTTTTCTTCTCTCGTCCTCTTCCTCCGTCCCCTTTCCTCCTCCTACGTATATATTTGCTTTGGCAAAAATCTGAATGGCAAGCTGTGCGGTTTTAGTTGGTTAGACTCCAGCAGTACCCCAACTGGGGTCCCCAAGCCTGGGCTCTTGCCAACCTGCACCTAATACATTCTGGAATTAGGTAAGCAGGATGCATCCCTCCAGGGAAAGTCCGTATACCATTCCAACAATCTATCTCTAGGATTTCCCTGTGTAGGTGGGATGTATAGAATTCTTAGTTTGGTTTGGATATTCTTAAGCACAGTGATGAGTTTCCACATGTGTCAGACACCCGGCTGACCATTAAAAAAAAGATCTGAATGGCATTCGATACTCAAAGTGGACCATGGTCATTTTCAGACCATCACATCCTATTATTATTATTTGCTTTACTTCCGAACAACTCTGGCAATAATTCCTCTGGTGTCATATTCATCACCTGTTCTCAATACCCTCCTCCCCCCTCCACCAAAAAAATATAAATCTAATACCGCTAAAACTATAAACCACATTAATCCTACATTCTTCTGCAAAATTGGCATTTCTACTGCGAGAATTAATCCAGCTCCTTCACCTCATTAGAATCAGCCACTCCTCTCACCTAATAGCATCATTGCTCACTGTTTATATGAAAATCTTAACATGATCAGACAGCAACTCAGCAAAGTCTATTTGAGTTCATCATAATAACTAGAATTAGATACGAAAATGTGGAGAAAAGTGTGGGGAAAAAGCAGGGAATTTGGATTAGGATATACAATGCGAAAAAAATTCAAATCACACAAAAAGGCCATTTAGCCTATCATGCTTGTGCTAGCTCTTTTCAAGAGCAATCCTTTCAGTCCTATTTACCTGCCGTTTCCTCACACCCAAGTATAACTGCCACATCCTCATAATGTTTCAAAAGAATTACTGTGAAGTGTAGTCACTATGTATTTTTACACAGCAGCCAATTTGCCACAAACAGCCATGAAGTCAGTGACCAAATTTTCTATTTGGGGGCTTGTTGGCCAGGACACCGGGAGAACCTCTTTTGTGACTGGGAGAAGAGGGGATTTGAGCAGGAGAGTGAGATTAGACCACATTGCTACCATGGAGATATGAAATGATAATCCCTACATTTGATGTAGCACCTTTCACATCAGGAAAGCTTGTGTGGAGAAAACCCATGCAGGCTCGATGGGCTGAATGGACTGTTTTCTGTGCTGCGATATTTTATTCTTTCAGTGGCGCTTTCAGAGTCTGCAATCTGAAAATTAGCTCCCAGGTAATTTTATTACCCGAGTGCTGAAAAGAGACGGAAACAAACAGCATCAATAACGGGGCTAAAATGGATCGTATACGAGTCGTTTTCTCACTTTCACACTTTCTTGTAGATTTAATGTGGACGCGTTTCTCTTTTGTTCTCTCAGATTCCAGTGCAGTTGTACGGTGGGTTATTCTGGGGCCTTTTGTGAGCTGGACATCAACGAGTGCGAGTTTCTTCCTTGTCTGCACAGTGGCAGCTGCGTCAATGTGCACGGAGGCTTCCAGTGTCTCTGTCCCCCTGGATTCACAGGTACACACACCGACCCCCTGAATGTTAAACACGATGTGCTTTCAGAGGATCGCGTTTAAAATCCTCATCCTCACTTTCAAAGCCCTCCACGGCTTTGCTCTTCCACACCTCTGTGGCCTGTCACCATACCAACCTGTCCTCTCCCTCCGCTCGGTGGGCACTGGCCTGCTTCATGTCCCCCACCCTGCCTGCCCCACCATTAGTGGTCAGGTCTTCAGTCTTTCTTGCCTTGCCCCCTCCCTTGGCTCCTTTCAAGCCCCGTCTCAAGACATTCGTCTTTGACCATGTGTCCATGCACCCTCCCACCCTCTCTATCCTCTTTCTCTGTTAATTCCAACCCCCAGCTCAGGTGCGAAGTGTTAACTACCCAACGCCGTGGGACATCCTCCCAATGTGAAAGGAGCTATATAAATGCAATTTGTTGTTGTTGTTGTTTTGCCTCTTGCTCGCCTTCGCTTGCATGGTGCCGCGTTACTCAAATAGCATGCTTCATAAATTGGGGAGAGAGAGAGAGAGAAAGAAAACGAGAAATCACAATTCACGAAAATCCATTTTGTTTCTCAATGGGGGTGCGTGGACAGACCAACAGAAAAATAGACAGCCTTAAATTGTTGTGGATTTTCTTGCCCATTGTTATGAATGGAAGGATTGTGCTTGATTCCCTGTGTTATGATTCAGGCTATGATTTCCTTAACAACAACAACAATTTGCATTTATGCAGTGCCCTTCACGCAAGGTAGCATCTTGATGTGTCAAGGTAGCATTGACGGAATCTGACGCCGAGTCGGGGGATGGAGGAGGTGAAGCACAGGCAAAGAAGAATGTCTTCATTCATGATCTAAAAGAGAGGAAGGAGGGGGCAAAGTGGAAGGATTGAGAGAGAGAGAGAGCTCAAAGCTTTGGGGAGTAGTGGCTGAAAGCGGGGCCTCCGATGGTGGAACGGAGAGCACAAGGGAGAAACAGGAAGCCAGAGCCAGCTGATCAGATTCAGCAGGTAGTGGAGTGGGGAGGAAGCTGGTCAGAAAGGTAGGGAGGTGGCAATGTGTGAAGGGATTTGTAGTCAAGTGAGAGGATGTGTGGAAAGCCCTTCGCATAACAAATTCAGCCTCAGTACCTTTGGAGGAGAACAATTCTCAGCAGAATATCTGCTTTGGAGCCTACAATCTGGTCTATCCCCCTCTCTCCTCCCCTTCCTCCAAACTCCCTACATTGCAATGCTTCATAACACGCACATGCTCAGTCTGTTAGACATCATTACTTTTTATTACCTGAAAACCTACTGAGAACAGTCACTCTCTCCAGGGAAGATCTGATCAGGCAAAGTACTTCATACAACCGCTGTGTTCTTCCGAAGGGGCTAATAGAATAGTTGCGAGAATTGTGTTGGGGGAAGAATCTTCGTCCGCCTGGGAGCGACACGATTTTCTTTGCCTTTTGGTCAGGAAGGGAACATATGTTATTGATGGTTCTGTTTGCTTAAAGTCCATAGATTTTCTACCAGTACTAAGAGGTTTCGCGGATATATTGTGTTTGAAGACAATTAGGCTGAAATGCTTTTGAGTCATGAGCAATTCACTAACAAATATACGGTCAATTCACTTTACATCATATTCTGTGAAGCGTTTTGAGGTGTCTAGAAGACATGAAAAGTGCTATATCAAATGCAAGGATTATTATTATTATTTGTCATGACTATATTTTACTCCCATGAGAAGATTCACTATCAGATGCCTGCTTCCTTGATAACGCAAAGGAGCTATCACTTGGTATCAATTGGATGTGAATCGTTCTGGGTTTATAGATCTGCACCAGCAATAAGGCATAGATACAAATGACTGTAGGTCGCTCTAATTCATTTACCAACACTGACTCGATAATAGGAAGCAGAGACGGTCGGGGAGAGGGGATGGGGGAGGGGTGAAGAAAGCCATCAATTTCCTGAGAGTTGATTTAGTGTGTTTTTTTTACACTGTGATTAATAGTTTGCAAGTTAGAAGCAATTTTACATATTGATTAGAGCACTCGCCACACAACCAAGAGGACCTGGGTTCAATTCTCGGGCAGGGCGAAACCTTAGGCAAGTTTCCTTACTACACAAGCCTCTGTACCAAGCAGTAAGTAGGAACCCAATTGTTAGTTGATTGGTGGATCACTTTCCAGCGGTAATAATTGATTCAAAAAATAATAAATAATAATAATTTGGTCACTCACTCAATGGCTATTTGTGGGATACTGCTGTGCACAATTGGCTGCCCCGTTACACCCATAAAATATATCGTCAATTCGCTTTACTGTTTATTCTGTGGAGCACTTTGAGACATCTCAACGATGTGATGAGGTGCTTTATCAGATGCAAGAATTATTATTATATATTATAATTCATTGACGAGACATCTCAGATATAGTCCCTTTTCCAAAAAAAGCCCGGTGATGGGACAATCAATATCTAATAAATATATAATATAAAGTTGGGCGTGGAGTGACATATGCCCAATTGCAATTGTGTTAATATCAGGGCTTTATAAGAATGGAAAATCTATTTTGCTGTAGCCCCAGCAATCGCAATTCTGAACAATGAAGAAGGCAGACGTTTAAAATCGATGTGTCGTACATCACTTGGGATGGCAGTAAAATATGAAGCAGATTAATGAGAACGAGCTCATTATTATTATTATGATTATTACCTCCACCGATTCGCCCGGAGGGAAAGTAAGTTACATACATACTTAACCATACTTCCCTGCCATCATCAATCTCTTATCAATCTACAGAAAAGCGCTGATGAAATTAAAACAACAAATGTGTTGTTCTGATTCATTAAAGGAATAAGCCCCCTTTACTGCACCCCCCTCAGTCGCCCCCCCCACCCCCCCCCCCACCCTGCCATACCCCCTTTCCCTTTGATTCCACATGTTAACATGCGACTGAGTTGAATCAATTCATTTCCGCTGCTCTTTCTTAGAAAAGCGGGCAGATCTGCTTTCAAAGCAACGCTCTTTCATTCCCTTCCCCTGGCTGCTTCCTCCACACAGAGGTGATATGGTGATACTGCACTAGAGCAACATTTGCTTCCTTTTATTGGCGTGCGTTTCAATGCATTCAAGTTGTGTTTACATAGATTTACTAAGGCTATGCAGCACGGAAACATGCCATCAACCTAACCGGTCCCCGCTAACAACAACAACTTGCATTTACATAGCGCCTTCATGCGGGGGTAGCATCCCAGAACGCTTCACGGTGGTGGAGTTGACAAGCCAGGGGGAGAGGGAGGGGGGGAGGTAACCGTAAGCACATCAAAAAAGAAGGTCTTTAGGCGGCACTTGAAGGTGGGGGGGGAGGGTGCAAGGTGGAGGGATTGAGGGAGAGAGTTCCAGAGTTTCGGGGGGTAGTGACTGAAGGCACAGCCATCGATGGTGGAACGGAGGGCACGAGGGACAAACAGGAGGCCGGAGCCAGGCGAGCGGAGGCAGGGGGTGGTAGAGTGCCGGTGTTTATACTCCATTCAAGTCTCCACCCATCCACTTACCCTTCTATTCCCTCTCCCTTTGTGTATGTCCAGCTTCCTTTTAAATGCATCTACACTATAAATTTAAAAAATATTCCTTGCATTTGATGTAGCTGCTATAACATTGTTTTTACTCAGACAGAACGGAGAGGAGAGGACAAGCAGAGTCGTGGGGAAGTAGACAATAATAGTAATCGTTGCATTTGATATAGCAATTTATCACATCATTGAGATATCTCAAGGCACTCCACAGAATATATTGTAAAATGAATTGACTGCATATTTGGTGGACGAAATCACAGATCAGAGAGGTCGGGAGATGCTAGGGCATGAAGGGATTTATAGGTGAGGGTGAGGACCTTGAGATTGATCCACAGGGGCAGTCAGTGGAGCCTGACAAGAACTATGGTGATGGACACGGGTCCCACAGGATCCAAGCAAAAGACTAGGGCCCCTTCAGGGTCCCAGGCCAAATCAATAGCAAATTGCAAACGGTTCCTTATGTAATGTGTGTATGTTCAAGATTTCAAGATCCTCACCCTCGTATTCAAGTCCCTGCACTCCTCTGCAACCCACTACCTCTCTGACCTCCTCTCTCCTCAGCACAGTAACCGTTGCCTTTGTTCCTCCGGGTCTGGCCTCCTCCTTGTCCCCCGAATCCTCCGCTCCACCCTCGGCGGCTGTGCCTTCAGCCACTATGCCCCGAGGCTCTGGAACTCCCTTCCTCACTCCCTTCCCCTCGTTCCCTCCCTTCCCATTTTCAGGTCTCTGCTGAAGACCTTTCTTTTCAACCGCGCCTTTGGTCAACTTCCTCGCCCTCCCCCTGGCTCGGCCCTGGGATCCTAAACTGTAAAGCGCTCTGAGATGCCGTCCGGCGTGGAGAATGCTATATAAATCCAAGTTATTGTTGTTGTTCAGCAGTCACTCACATCACGATATCTGCAAAGTTGCAAACCCTGGAGAGCTGAGATCTGTTTCTGATCCCTACAAGTGGGATGTAATTGCTCTGAAATTGTCTGCAATGTAGAGGCATCGCTGTTTGGGGACCCAGGAGCAGGACACTATCACGATTACCTTCAGTGTATAAAATGAGCTGCGTTATCTTGTAACAAATGCCAGACCGGATGCAAATTCCACTGAGGGTGTTTTGCTTTATCGTATTCTCACATTCCCCGTCCTCATGTTCACATCCCTCCATTGATTCTACTCCACCTTTAATAATGCAGTAATAATAATAACAATCCTTGCATTTCATATAGCACCTTATTACATCATTGAGATGTCACAAAACGCTTCACACAATAATTACACTGTAAAGTGGATTGACTGCACATTTTGTGGGCGAAACGCAGCAGCCAATTGCCCACTTTTTTTTAGTTTATATTTTATTTGAAGGGATTATTACCCTCGTGATAATAATCCTATATTTGCTATATCAAATGCAGGGATTATTATTATATCTCCCACAAAATATACAGTCAATTCTTTTTACAGT